TTTAAAGTACGTATCTTTGGGTAGAAAATAAGAATCCTATAATATTAAGAATTCTTATAGGAAATAAAAGTGCGTTCTCAAGACAGATTTTACCTACCGTGAAAAACTACCTCAACTATATCTATTCCTTTAAGTGCATGGAATCCTATGGTGTAGGTCCACATACTAAATACTCCCCCCATCTGGGCAGAGATGTATTGTGAATCTAGCAATGAGTATAACCTGCATGTTTTGATTAAAAAAAACGAACGGGTTTATAAGAATTTACAAACCCGTGCTCAAATAGGAATTTATATTTGACCGTACGGGTTAAATACATATAGTTAATTGGATTCAATTAACTTTTTCTTTTCCATAAATTTCTTACTATGCACTATGTCTTGATAATGCACTTAATAATAAAATTTATTAAGAATCCTATTTCCAACATCAGATATTGACTCCTGTTATTAATGGTTCCTTTTGAAATTAGTTACTTTTCTACTTCTTGTAGCGATAAGAATTCTTATTTACTTCGGTTCCCTATGCAGTACACAAATTATTGGCATGAATTTGGAGATATATCTAATAGAGATATTTATGTCTCTTTTATTTATATCGCATTACTTTCCAGTTCCTTTTTTGGGTAGGAAATAAGAATCATATAATATTAAAAATTCTTATAGGAAATAAGAATTGATATATACCTAAACAAAAAAGGAGCAAGCCACGTAGGAAACTACTTGTCGTCTCGTTAAGCCACGTAGGAAAGAGAAAACATGAAGGGATAAAAATGAGAATATGACTTTATTATATATATATATAATTCTTTAGTACTAAATTTTTGTAACCTTTTTTTGGGGTTTAAGGGTTTAGTTTAAATTGCAACAAGTATAGTGTTGAAAACGTGCAAGAGACTTAACTTTTTATCAGAATATAAGTTTAAATATTGTAAACAAAGCTACCAGATAGAGGTGATAACATGTCTTTAAAAAAAAGACAGACAAAACCTCAAAACTTACAATCGAATGCTGCATAATAAGTAAAAATGCAATTAATGCATAAATACTCTGTAACTTTCCAACAAAAAAAGCAGAAAATTTCCAATTGAATAGCCAACAAAAAAAAAAAAAGAACATTGAAAAAGGAACAGAAAAATCAAAATTGCAAAATACCAATTTTGCATTTAGATTTAAGACAAACCTCATGAAAGGAAAACCAACTTGTAGGACCAAAACAAAGGAAGGATGAAAAAATAATTAGAAAATAGCAAGAAAAATGCAATAATTATCTCATGAAAAGAAGACAAACTTCTCGATGTTCAACAATAATTTCCTCAGGGAAGAAAGGCTTACCTCTCCATGTTCAATAATAATTACTAAGAAAATAATCTTAGTGTAATTAGTTATAAAAAAGAAATTTGAAGGGAAAAAAAGATGAAGCAAAAAAAGGGAGATGGAGGCAGCAAAAGGAAGAATGGAAGATGAAGTGAGGTTTCTCATCGAGAGGAGAGGTTTTGTCTAACTTTTGACTAACCAAAACAAAGGGAGTAGAATTTAGTTAGAAAGAAAACTACCACTTATTAGAAGGAGAGGTCGTATACATGACAAAAAGAGAGGTTGTTACAGTAAACCTCTATTTCTTTTTATATATAAGGTAGATATGAAAACCCATCTACAAAGCAATGTGGATACCCCTGTATGGAACTTTTTTTTTTTCTTTTTTTGGGGGGGGGAGGTCATGCAACCTGAGGTTTATGAGATTGTTTAAATGTATTATAATACAAGGGTTAAAAGAGGTTATGGTCCTCTCCATTGAATTCCTTAATTTCTATTGATCTACTTATTTATTCATATCTAAATTTATATAATGTTATAAAATTATGCGATTAAGTCATTATTTTCTTTTGATCTCTTGATCAACATACTAAAAAATGATGTTTTTTGAGAATATTTTGACATTCAATTAACAGGAAATACACAAACGGTGAAAAATAAGTTAAAATTGCGACAAAATTTGTGATCATTAATCATGCAGTAAAACTTAGTCAATTTCATACAAAATTTTCTATATAACTAACACAATTAATGAAATATATTATGAATAGTGTTAATTTTCAAAAATAGTTTTTCAATTAATGTTGTTGGAGTGTAATGAAGAGATGTTGAGGAGCCAAGTCCAGGTTAAAAGAAGTTTGCAAGTCTTACAATGTTGTATTACTTCCTTTTAGTATTGAATCTAGTGACATTCCACAAAATTTCATACACTAAAGCTAGTCTATCATCCAACAGGAAAAGAATTCAGGAAAGAATGTTAAGACGCTTAAAAGACAAAAAGGAAAGCAAAAAGTGTTGAACTGCTCCACTTAAATCAGAACATATAACTCCAAAAAGTTTTTACTAACAAAATGATTTCATTTTTTGTTTTTTGACATAGTGAATCACAGTAGCCACTCCATACCCTCAATCAAATACAAGAAAGAAGGCAGAGTGCAGAAATGAGAAACGACAAAGGAAAAAAATTCACGGGTTAAAAACAAAAAAGCCCCCTGTGCTAAACCTAATATACAAATAAGCCCCCTATGGTTTCAAAATATACAACGCGACACCTCGTGTTTTGAACTAAGTTGTAACACTGACGGAAATCGGTAAAATTAACGGGAACTGATGAAAGGACCAAAATGCCCTTGTATAATACCCAAAAGGCAATTGAACGGACTCATTTCTTCCCTTCAAACCCTACGAAGAGAGAGAGAGCGAGAGAGAGGAAGTAAAGCCCAACCAAACGGAATCAAGTAAGAAGATCGAAGGAGACGAAGATTTATTCCAGAAAATCGAAGGCAAATGGGTATGTATGCTATACTTCGTTCATGTTATAATTAATTAAAATCAGTTCATGTATGTTATAATTAGTTTACAATTTAGGGTTACTCATCTTAGATTTTGAGGGCTGATGATGTTATTTACACCCAAATATGCAATATATGCAATATTTGGGTGTTTACCTTAGAAAATTCCTGATTTTGTGAGTTTTGAGACTGGTACTTTGGATTTAAAATGAAGATTTTTTCTGTTTTGGGACTACGACTTTGGTTTTGAAGCCGAAATTTTTTTTTAAAATTTTGGGTGTTGGAACTAGGAGTCATGCAAAAAGTTTCTGAAATGTCCATTTCTGATGGGAGATTTTTGCTTATTTGGGACTGCAAGTTTGGATTTAAAGCCGAGATTTTTGTTGATATTTGGGTGTTGATTAGGTGACGCAAATAATTTTTGAAATTTCCATTTGTGATGGGAAATTTTTGCTGATTAGAGGTGTTGAGTAGGATATGTTTATGTGTGTTTGAGTACGACTCAGTCACTTGTTATTACAACAAGATATTTAACAAAGAATTGTAAGTAAAATTTCTATAATTGTTACTGTCTTCTCTGGTTTAGTGGTCCAGAATGCTATTAAAATTGGTTTTCTGTTTGTGCTTTTATGTTTATTTGGTTTTCTGTATATCAATGATGGAGACATAGTAGTTGGGAGACTAAAGCATATTTATTATATTCTTGAAACATTCAACAGAAGAAGACAAGTCAGAGGAGACAGTAGATATACATATGTATTTTGATGGAAAATTTAGAGAATATCCTGCCCTCCACTACACAGGAACCCGTATGGCTATCTTTAAAAATAGACTTGAGGACCACATCTGCATAGTTAGCCTTTGCAGAATGTTTAAAAAAGTGGATGAGGATGCAACTAGAGTGACTTTCTGGTTTTGTGCTCCAGAGTAGACTTAGATGGTGGTCTACATCCAATTAGGGACCATGATGATGTTAAATTAATGAATAAAGCACATTGGGGTTTGGCAACAAGGATAATATATGCCTGTAGTGGGGATGATCCTTTTGAAAAGCCACTAGAACATGGTGGGGACAATGTGTTGGAGCCAAATTCGACAATGGATGCATCAACAACAATTAAAAATGCAGATGGGGTACATAACACCAAAATAGACAGCAGAGATGGTGGGGTACAAAAAAAAGAATGATGGGGTTAGTAATTGCAATCCAAATAAGCCAAATAATGATGATGATGATGAGCCTGAATGGTTGAAGGAGGGGTTGGAAAAAAAGAGGATGAGGACATTTTCGCAAGTAAAAAGATGTGGACAGAAGTAGTAAACCAGAAGGTGGGTCCATACTACATTCCACTCATTTTAAGCCTTATCACGTGTTCTCTTTCCCTGAGAAGGTGGCTATCAAGAGCCTTGCCAAAAGTGAAACTAGTAAGGAAAAAAAGTCTAGTAAAAATAAGAAGCAGTCTGCAGGGCCAGATAGCATTGGAAAATTCCACCTCATATCTCATTTCAGAATTCATCTCAAGCTGCATCTCAAGCTGCTGACCAACACCCATCTCAGATCCCATCACAAGCTGAAGCAGGGAACAGTAAAAAGGCTGAGGAAAGTTCAACAGAAGAAGGAGCACCACATACACCAGAAGAGGATTGGCAAGAACCAGTAATTTCTGATGAAGAGTTGCTGGACAAGTGCGGATCTAATGATGAAGGCCATGAAGAATGTCATGACTTTAACCCTGAAGTGGAGTTTCTCAAGCCACATTTTGAGTTGAAGGTTGGGCAAAAGTTTTCCAATTTCAGAGTTTTTAGATATGTGTTGATCGAATGGTTGGTAAGAGAGGGATATGAGGTTGATTGGGTAAAAAATTACTCGAAAAAAATTATTGCGAAGTGTGCAAAGGGCTGTTCTTGGAGGATTCGTGCAACACCAGTCCAAGGTGAAACTACTTTTCAAATTAAATCATTGAAGGGCCAGCATGTTTGTGCTAGAGATTACAACAACAAGCATGCAACAGCCAAGTATTTGAGCGTGAAGTACCAAGACAAGATAAGAGGTGACCCGCAGTGTGCTGAATAGGATTTCAGAATGATATTAGAAGAGATCTAATGATTAACGTGTCCGTTGCCAAGATACGCAGAGCAAAGAGAGGCAAAAGATGAGATGCTTGGCACGGATATGGAGCAATATCACCACCTTTGGAGTTATGCAGCTACAATTAGAGAGACAAATCCTGGTAGCACTGTCAAGATTAAGCTTGATACAGCAGAAGAAGGTTCACAAGGGACATTTCAAAGACTGTATTACTGTCTTTATGCTTGCAAACAGGGGTTCCTCGATGGCTGTCGACCAATAATTGGTCTTGATGGGTGTTTTTTGAAATCTGCATTTGGTGGTCAGTTGTTGTCAGCAATTGGTAGAGATGGCAATGACAATATGGTTCCAATAGCTGTAGCAGTGGTAGAGGTAGAGAGGTATGACTCATGGAAGTGGTTTCTGGAACTACTAATGGCTGATCTGGGACTTGGTGTGGAAAACATACCCTGGACATTCATCTCAGATCGACAAAAAGGACTGGTCCATGCAGTGAATGAGTTATTTCCAAATTCTGAACACAGGTTTTGCTTGAGGCATATGTACCAAAATTTCAAACAGAAGTTCAAAGGAAAAGAGTTGAAGGACTTGTTCTGGGCAGCAGCAAGTGCTGGGAATGAAGTGGACTGGAAATTAGCAATGAATTCCCTTGAAAAAGCTTCAAAGGATGCAGCTGAATGGCTGCAAAAAGTGCCAAGTGTTTTATGGAGCAGGTCACATTTTAGACAAAGTAGCAAATGTGATATTCTTGTGAACAATCTTTGTGAGTCATTTAATAACTATATCTTAGAAGCTAGAGAGCTACCTGTCATAGGGATGCTTGAGTGGATTCGAAGAAGGCTCATGCAAAGGATTCAAGTGAAGAGGACTGGTATGCAGAAATTTCAAGGAAAAATATGTCCTAACATTGCAGAGAAGATTGATAGGAATCTGAAATTCAGTAGGCTGTGTATTCCCACATGGGATGGCAAGAACAAATATGAAATTGATTGTGGGCCCAGAAAATCTGTTGTGGTGGATCTGAAGGAAAAGACTTGCACATGTGGCTATTTCCAGCTTACAGGTTATCCTTGTGCTCATGCATGTGCTGCAATAGGAGCACGTAGATTGCCTTTGCTTGATTATGTGCATGCCTGCTACAGTAGAGAAAATTACTTGAAAACATATGAGCACACTATCACACCTGTCCCAAGTAATAAGTACTGGGTGAGATGTGAAGAACAACCCCAAAACCTCCTGCAGTTCGAAGAATGCCTGGCAGACCCAAAAAGATCCGGCAAAGGGCAGCCGACGAGCCTAAAAAGGGTCAAGTCTCAACCAGAAAGGGTCTTGTGGTAACTTGCAAGAGATGTTTTCAGCCAAGACACAATTCAAGGACCTGCAAGAATGCCATTCATCCCAACTCTAAATTCTACAAGGTAACACAGCTTACAGATTTCATAGGCTAAGACTAATTGCTGTCCCAAATCATTTTAATTGAACATTAAAATGAACTTGTTTTTTATAGGCTCCTGACACCAATGTAGCTGAATCAAGTTCAGAACTTCATTCATCAGCTCCTTCACCAATAGTACCCCCGCAACCAGTCCCAAATCAAGAACAAGCTGCACCTGTTAAAAAAAAAACTGCAGGCCGGGAAGCAGTATACGCAGCCAACAATTGCGAGTGTAGCAAAAAATGTGCCTGCTAGACAATCATGTTCTCAGGTTGGATTTCATGTAACGCAAAAGTGATTTAATGAAGCATTTTTCCTTCAAACATTCATTTTTCTACTTCAATTGCAGCCTGTGAGTGGAACAACTTCACTAGCAAAAGGACCCCTTCGTCCTACTGTTGCTGATGTTCTATACAACCTAAGATCCAAGAAAGCAAGAAGATGTTAGAGTTGAATTTTGAAGTGGACTGTATGTTTGTTGATTGCCTTTTTGTGTAGTTTTAAGGAATTAGTGGTTGCTGTTAGAGTTTGGCAAACAGCTGGAATGTATGTTTCTGATGTATTTTGTCTACTCTGTTTGGAATTGTTATCAATTATTGCAAACTGGAAACTTTGATGTATTTTGATTGGATGCTGTTGGCTTCAATTTGGAGGATTCTTGCTGTGTTGGACACTTTAATGTACTTATTGACTGTTTTAATGGAGCATTATGATTATGGGCTGCAATGGTATATCTCAATTGCAGAAGAAGCTATTTCTGGGCAGTTTTTATGGGCTGGAATATTTCATGTACTGTTTGTCTGGGCAGTTTTTGTTTGGTGGGATGTATTTTGTCTACTCTATTTGAAATTGTTATCCTGGAATGTATAGTGGGATATATTTCTGGAATGTTGGATGTGGGGATATATTTCTGGAATAGTTTATGGACTGGAAATTTTAATGTACTTTGGTGTACTTATTACTCAAAATTGGAATGCAGAAGACGTTATTGTGTGTGCTTATTGCTCAAAACTGTTTTTAATGCACAAATATGCTTACAAGTGTATATAATAGTTAGATGTTTGTTTCATTGTTTTAGGTAGGACATCTTTCGGAAAACAAAGAATAAAGTGCACATTTCCATGAACAAAACAAACTACCTGATTTTCTTCATTTCCATTCATAAGCTTCTTCATTGTCTTATTTTACAGACATTTTCATCAACAGAAGCAAAAGTGAAAAAATAGATACCATTAGACAATAGCTAACTAGTACTTTCAAGTTCTTCACTTCATCATTCAAGTTCTTCACTTCAGAATTCGAGTTCAAGCACGACAAATGTTCTTCAACCACTTGGCCTCTCAAAAAAGTTTCCTCTGCCGGTTTCATCTCTATAGATGGGATTACACCATGAGAAAAATCTGCATTCATCCCTTTCACAAACAAAGTACAGCATCCCTTTGGATGGCTTTTCGGACTCAACAATCTTCACCTTTGCCTTTCTTCGACAGTCGCACAGCTTATATTGGTACTGTAGATTCCTAGCTCCACTATCCCCTCGAGAGCTTGAGGAAGACATGAGCAAATTTTTTAGCCAGTCATTTCCCTTCATCAGTAGATAAATCCCAATTTAGTTACCAACATTCTTACTTTAACCCTAATAACAACAATTTGTTAGCTAAAACCCAAAATCAAATCCTTTTACCTTAGCCAAGATTGTTGTAGTTCCTCGCAGGTTGACTTCGTATCTGGAGAATGGCTTTACCTTTCAAACCTCCTACGTGGTAATTTGATTTCTCCCAAAGGCTAGTTCAATTTCTCTCAATCAAGTAGAAATCGATTCTGTACACAAGCATCGCTGTGAGGGAGTTTTATTGGGGGCTAAGGGGTACAATAGGAATATTTGCTAAAAATTAAGTATAAAGAATTTGTTTTTAGGTCCTTTCATCAGTTCCCGTTAATTTTACCGATTTCCGTCAGTGTTACAACTTAGTTCAAAGCACGAGGTGTCGCGTTGTATATTTTGAAACCATAGGGGCTTATTTGTATATTAGGTTTAGCACAGGGGGCTTTTTTGTTTTTAACCCAAAATTCACATCAAACAGACTTGAGCTCAACTGTAGTGATTCATATTGCAGTGACCTTTACCCATCTTCATCTAATCCATTTTTAACAAAACAAAATTAATCAGTAGACAGATAAATTTTAAAAAAAAATCTAACAATTGTGTCTATTGTTCTCCAGATAATCTATGAAGTTTCCAACGTAACCATCATTCAATTCTCTATCTCTGAATATTCCACTCATTTCTTTAGCTTTTTCCCCAAACATTTTGCCTTCATTTTCAACCATAATCAGTCTGACACACTGAGCCACTAAGTCTCTCGTGTAAGACCTGTCTGGATCATTTCTTGGTATTTCAATTCCAACATTCCTATCTTCCATAACCCTGGCATTTAACCCTTGGTCCACCAAAAAAGAGGGCATAATCAGTGGGTGACCAAACATGAGTTCCTCTATACATGAACTCCAGCCACAGTGAGTCAAGAACCCACCCACCGATTCATGATTCGGTATGTTCAACTGTGGTGCCCAACCCTTCCACACATTCCCTCTTCCTTTGACTCTCTCCTCAAACCCATCTGGCACCTGAAATGACTCAGATAGCTTCCTCAGGACCCAGAAAAAGGGTACCTCGGGTAACTCCAACCCGAGTGCTAACTCGGTGACATCTTTTTGACTCAGTGACACCTCACTTCCTAATGCAACGTACAGAACTGAGCCCTCGTTTTGACTCTCAAGCCATTCCCTTATTGAAATCCAGCAATGAAATGAAATTATCTTGGCTAAGCTTTCTCTATCTTTCTTTTTACTTGTGATTCATTATGTTTGTATGCAATGAAATTATGCTTTTTGTTGTCTTATTTTGTATGCAATGAAATTATGCTTTTTATTGTCTTATTTCACATGAGTAGCTAAATTTCTAAATTTAAGAAGTAGATGAAACTTATGGCTATTTGATATGTGTTAAATATTATCTATACTTGTTATCTCATGTATTAACTTGTATATTTATGCATGCTTATTACTTGTTGTTACTTGATCACCAATAGCAAGTTTGTAGTTGTTATTATTCAGTAGAAATTCTTAATAATGATGGAATGACATAAATGGACTTAAGGAGTAGACTCATGAAAATAAAGGTACACTTAAGCGGATTAACTTTACATTTCATGAAGAACAAAAGAGTAAATCTAGTTATTCACCATGAGAATAGAGAAAACTAGGCTATTCTATACCACTACATCATGAGAGTGAGTTTTGATAAACTTGGAAATGAATCTCTAGTTAAACAAGAGTAATAATAAAAGATAAATCTATTCACTTATATCTTCGTGCCATAAATGGATTCTAACCCCCTAAACTCAAGTATTTAGTGAAATCTCTCTATTGTTATCTTACAAGTATTTAGTTAAAATAGTTAGATAACAAGTATTATTATTTTTATTGCCTTTATTTGACAGATAGTCTAAATTATAGACTAAGTAAAGGATCTAGTACTTGTAATAGTTGGTTCTCGTGGGATCGATCAGTTATATGTTCTAAACTTCTATTTGACCTGTATACTTGCAATCAAACGGGTATATTTTGGATTCACTTATATTTTGAACCCATCAGTGGCCTCCGCATTTTCCGGAAGTCCTTCAGTTTTGTGCAGTGGGATTTCTATTAAGGTGATGGAAGAAGCGAAAATTGGTGGGATTTTTGGGAGGCGATCAATGTTTCTTGGGGTGGAAATGAACGTGATCTTGTGAACATCACTGCATGGAATTTGGACTCTTTAGCCATGGCCGAATACCGAGTTTTTTAGAAGAAGCTAAGGTATGCCTATATAACCATATCGCGGCTACAGCGATGCTTATATAACCATGTCGCAACAGCGCAAATAACGTGGGGTTTGTCCATTCAGACAGAAACAAACCATATCTACTCGCTGACCAAAAAATAGAAGCCATCGGATTGGTGGCTTACTTAGGTGAGGTTTGGACTTTGGAGTACCAAGTTTCGTAGGAAAATGTTGAGAATATTTCTCGAAACATTTATCAACAACTTTTTTTTAGGATCGTGCTGCAGTGATGACAAGTCACCTCACGAAATACTAAAATAATACTAGTTACCGATAGTTGTCTAAGTTAACCTCCTTTAACGACAATTTTGGTCCTATAGCGTCTTTTCTGATTCCATTAAAATAATGATTATAAATTCTGTGTAAGTTTTTTTAACTAAAATGGTAAGTTTGTTCAGTAAACTAGTTACTTTAATCATTCATCATTACCAATTTATTTGTAAAACTTACCATTTTTTAACAAAAGCTTACCATTATGTCAATTAAACTTACTAATTATAATTGTTGTAACTTTCTTAAGTAAAATGGTAAGTTTGTGAAAGAAAGTAGTAAGTTTGGACAATTCACCAATTTACCATTTTATTTATAAAACTTACTATTTTTCAACAAAAACTTGCAATTATGGCAATTAAACTTACTAATTATAATTGTTGTAACTTTCTTAAGTAAAATGATAAGTTTGTGAAATTAAAATAGTAAGTTTGGACAATTCACCAATTTACCACTTTATTTGTAAAACTTACCATTTTTAACAAAAACTTATTATTCTTTGAATTAAACTTACTAATTATAATTGTTGTAACTTTCTTAAGTAAAATGGTAAGTTTGTGAAATAAAGTAGTAAGTTTGGACAATTCACCAATTTACCATTTTATTTGTAAAACTTACCATTTTTCAACAAAAACTTACTATTATTTGAATTAAACTTACTAATTATAAACTAGTAAGTTTCGTTGGAGAAATAGTAACATTCGGTATTTAAAGAGTAAATTTAATATCACACTTATAATTTACCAATTTTATTATCGAAGTTAACATATTACCACCTGATGTAACTTTGAATATTGGAAACCTAAATGAACAGTAGTGCAATACTAATCTTAGATGTAGGGACCACTATTAATCAGTTGTACCAATATTTTAATATAAAATATTCACAAGTTATGGTAATGATCGGCACTGCGACATTATTCTTTTTTTAACATCACATATATCAAATTGTTACAACACATTTTTCTACAAATTTCAAAAAACATAAATTCAAATGGGATTTTAGATTGTTTAAACAATGAAAAAATTTATGCTAGTCTGGACTAATTCGAAGTTGGGATGGTTGCCAGTTCAACTACTCTAGAACGGTTTTGTCTAATTCAACAAAATATACATTTTATTTCTTTGGAATGTAAATCACTTTGAACATAAAATAAACACAAAATAAGTTTTGATCGATTCCACACATGGTGTTGAAAATGATGTACATTGTTGGCATATTAAACCAAATTTAGAAGTATTTATTTATTAGTTTTGTTGGAGTTAGGTTTTTGGTACTTGTGTGATTTAGAATTTGTGCTTTATTTGATAATTTCTTATACAAGTGGTTTCTTTCCCAACAAGTCTAATAGATTATAAATAAGACATTATTTAGGATGTTTTCTAGAGAGAGAGTCTAAGAGAGTTTGTCGAGTTTTCTATTGTGGTGTGACTTTTTTCATTGTTTGAGATTTCAATAATATTTTGAGTTGAGTTTATTATTTTCTTCTCTCCTACATATATTTTGAGTGTTTGTTTTATCCCTTCAATTTTGTAACCCTGTATGCATTTATTATCATTAGAACCCTAAAATTTGGGTTCTACAATTGGCATCAGAGCCAGACTACAAGGTTAGTCCTCAGTGTTTCTGCTATTAGAGAATTAGAGCACAAAGTTGCTGAAAATTATTCAGTTAATCGAGTTAGACCACAAAATTGGTCCTAAAGTGTGTTAGTTGGTGAAGAATTCGACTATAAGATTGGTCTGAAAATTGTTAGATTGTTGCAGGTGTGAAGACATAGATCAGAGAGGAATCCTGTCAGATTTATGGATTGCTGCGGGTTGTCATATTAAAGGAAATGATTGATCAATCAACCAGGGAAGTCAGGAAACTTGACTGAAGGAAAAAAAATTATTCAAGTATATGAATTGTTAAATAATGGAATATTATAGAGATCTGATTGATGGTGAAAATGTTTTCATATTAACTCCCATAAGTACAAATTAGACACACATATTTTGGTTAAGTTTTAACAGTGGAAAAATATCTCAAACAATGTAATTTGGATGATATTCTTTGTTAGGTTGATGCAAATGAGTTGCCAAAACATGTTTTCAAGAAGAAGGCATGGTTATTCTTTCAAGTGATGAGTAAAACTATGGCAAAAAGTATTTAAAAAACTTTTGTTCGTCGTACTAAAATATCTTGGACATTTTGGAAGGATATTTAATATATTTTGCAGACGATTGAACTCTGTTTGTTGGAAATGGTTTGTGAATTTTGAGAATGATAGATTTGTTGATGATATAGGGGATATTGAAAATTTTGAATCAGTTGATAGTTTTGATTTGCATACTTTGTGACAGGTGTCGTGCCTGAGCAATAATAATAATGATATTCCTAGTTGCCAACAAAAGCAGTTTCGCGTCAATTCTAGTACTGGAACAGGGACTCTGTGATAGGGTATAATTTGTTATTAATTTTATGGTTAATTTTCCTCTTTGTCCTTGCCAAATATTGTTTTAATTGTCGAAATATACTTATATTTGGTATTTGACCTAATTACAGGTAGTGGAGCAGAAAAGTACTAAAAAGGATGACTTTCTTGAGAAAATTTCGTGCACGTGGGAAGCCTTGAGAATCTTTGCAAATCCGGCTCCAAGATGTGCTAAACCAATGCCTTTCCTTTTGTGACTAGTAGTTTACTAGCATTAGGAGACAAGAAAGAAGGAAACTTCAGTAGTTGCCTTATCTCTTTGTTTTCCTTATTTGGTGGAAAAACCGACAAGATGAGAGACTAGTCGTTGTTCAGAATGAGAAGTCTTGTTTTGGGGTCTTAGTAGTTTTCTCCTCCTATTAGGTATCTATCATGTGCGCCGCAAAGGCCATAGCAGAGAACATTTAATTATCTCTTTGGCTTGGTAGTTCCAGGAATAATTCTTTGCCACCGCACCGAGCACCTTCCCAGCTCGCTCCAGCCGCTGTCTTCGTTCAGCCCCCGCTACTAGCCATCGTTCACCGCTGGCGCTCTCCCTCTCCTCAGTCCCTCACGGCCTGTTCTCATCTCTGCTCAAACAAAGGATAAAAGAAAGAACCAACCAATTTCACCAATGCCATAACTGCTCGAGACCCTCCATTACATGCTCAGGGAAGTTTCGTTGTCCCTTTTGTTTCGTATTATATTCTTTATCTCTTACATTGGGGACAATGTAAAATTTAGGTGTGGGGGAGTAGTATATTGGTATTTTATTGAAAAAGTGTAAGTGTAGATATTTTTGGTGGAATTTTTGTTTGACTTTGTTGAATTTTATCCAATTTTTGCCTATCTTTGTGCATATTTGTGATTGTTCCTAATTAATGATAGTTAGATGTCTTAAATTTTTCTATTGCTAAGATTTTACACTTTAAGGTATTAAGTATGACATGATTAAGTTTAAGGGTATCTTTTGGTGAATATTTGAGATTTTGTGACTTTTACACTTTTTGGTTAACTTCTCTAAGTATTGTAAATATTTATCTAGTAATTTTTTGTGCAAATTTGTTCAACTATTAATCTTAGTTCTCCATGTTTAAGAAATAAAGCGGATTTTTTGTGATTTTTAATTTTAATTTGGTGCTTATTTATGAATAGTATTTGGCTATACTCCACTAG